TCCTAAAATAGTTGTTATAGGTGTTTAATCTTCAGGTAAGTCTTCACTTCTAGAGTAAATTGTCTAGATAGACTTTTTACCTAGAGGAACTGGAGTAGTGACTCGTTGTCCTTTAGAAATAAGACTCATTGAAGTAAGCAACTATGGTAAAAATTTTAAGCCCTTCGCTTACTTTTTTGAAGAAAGAAACATAACATATGATGATTTTGAAGAAGTAAAATAAAGAATTGAAATAATTACAAAGGAGCTAGCTGGAGAAGGTAAAAAGATTGTTGATGAAACAATAACTTTGACTATCTTCTAGACTAATTGCCCTACTTTGACTTTAATTGATTTACCAGGTATGACTTTGAATTCTATCGAAGACTAGGAAGATGTAGAAATAGTTACTCAAGAAATGACTTTAAAATACATCTAAGAAGAAACCACAATTATCCTTTGTGTAATTCCTATCAACTCAGATTTAGAAAACTCTCTTGCTTTGAAGCTTTCTAGAAATGTTGATAAAGTTGGTAGTCGTACTATTGGAGTACTTACTATGATAGATATAATGAATCCAGGTACAAATTGTGAGAAAGTGTTAAGAAATTAGTAAATTCCACTTAAGCATAGATATTACGGTATGAAACCTCGTAATTAAAAAGATATAAATAATAATGTCACTGTTGAATTAGCCATACAAAATGAGTATGAATATTTCTCAAACCATGAAATTTACAAAGAATTTGCTGATTATACTGGTACAGCTGCCTTGACTCATAAACTTTCTACATTATTGGATAGCCACATTCGTCACTTTTTGCCAGATATTTTTAAAAAGATCTATTCTACTCTTCTTTAAAGAATAGAGTCAAGAAAAAAATTAGGCAATCCTTTCCCTACCGATATCAACAAATAATAAAAAGAGTTAAGAGACATAATTAACAAATCTTTAAATGTTTTCAAGCAAATTATATAAGACTTTGATCTAGTTGAAGTTGAAAATATTGAAAAAATTTAAATTGAAGACAAAATGGGTAGAAATTATGTTGATTATTTAATGGATAATTATTCAGAATAAAATAGAGAACTATTCATTCAATCTCTCAAAAACGTTGAAATGAAAAAAGTCTAGCACGAACTTTAGAAGTTTAGAATTCCTGTTAACGGATTTATTCCTTTCTAAGCCTTATAATCTTAGATTAGATAGTACATAAGCAACTATGAGCACAAAGCCAAGGAGTTACTTGAAAATATAAAGGAATATTTAAAGAAAGTACTATATTTCTGCATTGATTAGTATCCTTATCCTAATCACTTTATCAAGAAAATGATTTAAGATCTACTTTCAAAGTATATTACAAAAGAATTTAAATTTACTAAAGCTCATATCGAAACAACATTCAAGTGCTATAAAGAATCCATATATTCAAAAACGATTGATGTTCATGGCTCTGAAACTAAGATAAAGTAATCTTTTGTCACTAATTCTTTAGACACCAATTAAAAAATGTCTGTTTATGAACATATTACTAAAAACACAAATTTCATGAAATTGACTATTTTTGATGTAATGTATAAATCAGAATAGCTGTAAGGAAAAACAATTTAACACAAAGAATATAATGATGTTGTATTGAAGACAGATGAAAAATATAATACTGACGAAATTATGAGATATTCTATCATATTTTATCAATATATGGATAACTTTAGAAAATAGATCAGTGATCAAATTCCATAATTCATATAGACTTTATTTATCAACAGTCTATGTGATTCACTCTTTTTAAATGTTGTAAACTCTATTTTTAGCAATGAATGCAAAGAAGCTATGGAAAAAAATCTTAAAGAAGATGCTAGATTAACTGAAGAAAGAAAAATGGTCACTTAATCTCTCAAATAACTTAAAAAAGCTTACTCAACACTTAAATCCCTATAGGAAAAAAGCTTTGATTATTATTCATCAAGCTCTGTAACTTGTGAAAGCGAAGATCTTGCTTTACATTTTGAATGTGAAGATGCATATTATGATGATGAAGATGAAAATGATTCTATAGATGTGTTTTGATTAAAACATTTAATAATTTTGAATATTTGTTTTATTTTTGCTAATATAAAATTAATTTTAATATTCATATTAAATATTTTAAGATGTTTTGTTTTAAATATTTCATAATTTTTTTAATAAGCCTAAATATTTTTTTACAAATTGTTTTATTTATTAGAAGTATTTTATTCACAATAACAAACTATTCTAGCTGAGAAATAAATTGATTCATTTATCAAACATAGAGTAACTAATTATGAATAAATTTATTATGATGTTAGTTTTTGTGGTTACTAATATCTTCCAATAGTCTACTACCTACCTAACCTACCTTAAAATGTTAATAATTTAATTGTAATAACTATTTAAATATTTAGAATTGAAGAGCTAATAAAAATTTTAGTCCAAAATTTACAATATTATAAATCAAGTAGATGGTTTAATAAAAAAAACTATTTTTAATCAAGTATTTTTTATTTAATCACTTTTTTACTGATTGTTATTAAATTTCACTTGAGTGAATATTCACAGTAAACTGATTTTCATATTTATTTTATTAATATTAATAATTTAAAGAGAATATCTATTTCATTAATATTCTTCACTAAATAAATCCTTCGATTGTCACAATTGTTCCATATTTTCTAATTAATGATGATTATAAAAAAAAAGAAGAATTAAACTTTAATCTTTTTTTTTTTATTAATTGTGTTTTACACTTTTAATAATAATCAATTCAACAAAATTAAAAGAAATACATTCACAAATAATAACAAAAAATAAAAATGGGTTGATGCTTTAGCTGCCAGAACAACAACAACAATTGTAATTCTTATCAATAAGTTAATTCAAATAGAAACAAGGTTTTTATGGTTGAAATAGAATATTGGTAAGAAGGAGGATATGAAGTTGATGCTTCTTAAAAAATAAACAATATTAAATAAATGTATCCATTTATCCACTATTAATTTACTCCAGTTTCTAACGAAAAAGCTTTCAACATCTACTTGAGTGACATTAATAATTCCCAAAAAAGGTTTTTGTTTTATTCTCGTTAGGAGCATAAATTGTGGGATGGAAGCCAAACTACTAATTCACAGTATCTAAACTACTTAAAACAGTTTGTAGATGCTAACTTTTGAATATTTTATAAATCAATTTATTATTCCATTTAAAAATGAAGATAAAAACTAAAAAGACTCACATGAAGGAGAGTATCTAAAAACAAGTATGATACAATCCTGAAAAAATCCAAAAAAGTCTCTTTTTTTTTCTTTCTTCAACATAATAAATGAATAAAATTATAAATAAAATAAAAAACTGTAATTTTGTAATTGATAGTCAAATATATATTTCACAAGTATTAATTATAATCTCTTCAGTTGTTAAAAATATTTAGTCTTTATAAATGTTAGAGTTAAATATCAAATAAATGTATCATAAAATAGATTAAAATATCATTAATGATGGACATTTTACTTTTTATTTTATTTATAGTATATTAATTAGTATCTTTAATTCTTCAAAAAAAAAACTTCAATTTAATATTGATACAATATTAATTTTTTTTATGATAAGTCGCCTAAAACTAAAATATTCTTCTTTACTTATATATCTTAATATTTATTATGATCAAAGTTTTTATAGAGTCATCAAAATTGCCAGCTTATTAAATTTTAACTGCAATTTTTTTAGAATTTTACACTTTGGTTTTTTAATTAATAAAAAACAAACAAACAAATTTTTGCAAATTTTTTGACCAAACTAAATTCAATTAAAGTAAGGAAAATTCGAATAAATAAATAAATTTGCTTAATATTTCATTATTTTCTTAATGCTTATTTTTTCTTTCACTCTTCTTTATTTAATTAAAGCTAAATATTTTTAAAAAAATCAATTATATTTTGCAAGTAGAATATTTTTTTAATAGATACAAATTTTATTTTTTAGTGGTTTAATAATAGTAACTTCAAAATAATGATAGCCTTTTATGGGCATAGGCTTAAATTTATCATAAATATGAAATGAAATATTATGATTTCTTTATTTTATTTAAAATTTTCTATTAAAAAATTATGGTACATAAAAAATTTATTATTACTTTTAAAACTAAAATATCTTTATTGAAAGGTTTGTTTTATTTTAGGTTAATTGTAGTTATAAAGAGTATATTTTTATAAAATACATGGTAATTGTATGAATAGTACATTAGGAGAAACTTGACCATTCCTTATAAATTTGGGTACTGCACACTCTATTCGTACAATACAGTAGAAACTTCAGATTTATTATAGAGAACAAAATGCAATATCTTGTGTATCCTATTAATTTTGCAAGAAATTTTTTAAAAGTTAAAATTGAGAGAGCTTAAATCTCTAATTTTCACAAAAAAAGAGATTAGAGTAATTATTTTTTTTATCATTTGAAAGTTTTATAAATGAATGAATCATAGAGTTGTGAGTAAGCTAGAACAGCTTTTAATTAATTTTTTGTATTGAAATCTTCAAAATGAGTTAGATAAATATAAAGCAAAGGATAAGTAAAAATAAAAAAGCAAAAATAAAAATTGAAATTAATTTAATTAATAATTGTGTGGTTTTATATAAAATAATGAGAAGGAAGATGATAATAGCTAATTATTATAAATTATTTTTCCTTTGAATTTTTATTATTCTCTAACTTTTATAGCAGATATATTTGGTATCTTTTAAGCTAAAGAAACTCTAGTTATATCTTTTTTTTACTTTTTATCTTACAAATTATCGTTTTAAATACTAATGTTTTCAAAATTAGCTTGATAATAAATTCTGTAATTTAATCAAGAAATTTGAGTGGTTTGAAATAATTCTCAAAAAAAAAAAAAAGAGAAGAGAATTTTTTAAATTTGAAGGTAAGTTCAAAAATTAATCAATCAATCAATCAAAATTATAAAATTAAGAAATTGACAAACAATTAAAATTGATTAATAATTATGGACGCTGTAAATTAAGCTATAGAGTTAAAAGCAAAAGAATTCTTAAAGGAAAAAGGATATACTGTTTAAGTACTTCTTGGGAAGGGCTCTTTTGGTAGAGTATATAAAGCTCATGACTTTTAAAATAATAGGATTGTAGCTATTAAAGCTTTGATTCCAGATTATTAAAGAGATGAAGGGGTTTTGCTTAATTTAGTGAAATCTTTTTAAGAGATCTAAAATGCCTCTTCGATTAACTCTGAATATGTAGTAAAGATTTATGAATCCTATCTAGATAAAGATCTCTTTGTTATCTTCATTGTTTAAGAATTCTGCTCGAGGGGTAATCTAGACAAATACATGTAAGGAATACCAAATCTTACATAAAACACTTTAAAAAATATCATCATTTAGATATTAAAAGGGATAATAGATATTCATAAAAAGCAGATTATCCATTCAGATATTAAACCTGAAAATATACTTGTAGATGAAAGAGAAATTATAAAGATAGGTGATTTTGGAGAAGCAAAACAATTAAAAAAAGATAAAAACTAGACTTAAGCAACAGGAGCTTCTCCAATATTTGCTGCTCCAGAGGTAAATGATAAGAGTTTAATTTCTTTCGAATCTGACTACTACTCTGTAGGAGCGGTAATATGTATTATTTCTGGCCTGTAATATAAAGATTTGTAAATGATACAAGTTGGAGTATTACCAGATGTTAGAAACTTAAATAATAAGAATTTATTACTTTTAGCTTTTAATATGATGTCAATAAGTCCTAATAAGAGAGCTCCTTGTTCTTAAGTTTTATAGATACTTGAGTAGACAAGTAATATGAGCAGTTTTGATGCTCATAGTAGTATACAGGATTTATCAACCCAATATAATGATAGTGTTTTAGTTTTTTTTAAGTAAAATAACCATGTAGTATAAATATAATAAAATTAGAACCACTTAATAGAATTCCCTAGACCATAACTTCAAAACAAATGTTTATCCTATTTATTCTGGACAATATGGATATTATGCCCATTATTTTTAGCAGGTAATTCTATTTATTTCATGACAAAATCATGTTTTATCTTCTAACATTTAATCTTTGTAATAATCTGCTTATTGCTATCCTACTTCTCTGGTACCTCATTGTTAACAGCTGCCCTTGAATTGCCTCCAAACAGACCAAACAATATTATAGAATTTGTTTTAAACCTCGCCTTTTTTGTGTGTGGATGCCTAATTTCCTATTTAGTTCTTTTGCCATTTCCTTGTATTAATTTGTATGTATGCACATCATTTATTGATGTACGATTTAGTGAAATAGTTTACAATAGATATAATACTACTGATACTAGTGAAAACATAACTAATAAATTCTACTCAATTTGTAAAAGTGAAGAACCTGACAGAAGATATAGTCTAGAAAAGTATTTCGAATAAAATTACAGCCCTGAAATTCAAATTCAATATTATTCTGGAATATCATGGCAATAATTTCCTTTTATTATATCTACAGGTGTCATGTTTTTATGGATTTTATTACGTCTAAAATGGTATTTTTGCCCTTAATGTAAGTTTTCAAGAATCTTTAAATGTTCATGATTAAGACACAACTTTTAATAACAAATTGTGCGTAATTTAAATAAACTTAAATATATTTTAGAAATATCCTTTCTTATGGAAATAAACTACTTTTATAATTCTATATAATTGTATTATATTTCCGATTTTTATAAATATATTTTCAAAATAATTTTTACATAAACCTTTTCATAAGATATGTAGAAAAATAAATTTACTAAGGAAATTAGTTAGTTAGTTAGTTAATTAGTTAAATGAATAGATAAATAGATTGTTGTGATTCTTTTCAAAATAATAAATATAAAATAAAATAGTTTTTTAATTAACTTAAATAATAATACTGCAATAAGTGCCTATATTATCATAAGAATTAATCAATTCAATATTTTTTAAAAGAATTTGGGAATTACTAATTTTTTTAAATAATTAATATTTCCTTTTATTATTAAGTTCATATTTAATATAATAAAAATTTTATATTTGAATAATTTAAAAAATCATAAAACAGATATTTTCTTATAGAAATTAAAATAAAATTGCTTATTTATATATTTTGCTTTATAGTAAATACAGGAATTAAATTCTTGGGTTTTAATCAGCAAAATTTAAAACCACGTAGTTGTATTAAATATACTCATTCTCTAATAGCCAATAAAACAAATAAAAATATTTACTCATAATTTGTATTAATTTAGCTTAATTACTTGAAAAATTCATAAACTGTTTGTTTTTTCATCTATCTATCTATCTATCTATCTATCTATCTATCTATCTATCTATCTATCTATCTATCTATCTATCTATCTATCTATCTATCTATCTAAACTCATTCATATTTTTGATTTGATATAAAATGAAGTAAAGTATAAAAATAAAAAGTTAAATATTTAAGAAATGAATCAGTTAAATTATTTTAGAATTTCTTAAATATAAATTAATTAATTTATTTTAGATAAAAGTTGAAACCATATAGAAGATATTCATTAATATTTTTCTTAATTTATTAATTTTGTTTTTTATAAAAAAAAATAAAAAGTAAATGTATGTTAATTTCTTAAATTATTGTGTAAATTTAGTTTACAAAACTTCAATATAATAAGTATAAAATATTAAAATTTATAATATATCTAAGAAAGCACTTACAAAAGCTTTAGATAATTTTTAATTTTTATTAAAAAAAAAAAAATTAAATATATATTATTATCATTTATCTAAACTCATGTTCTTAAATAATTTATAAAATATTTATTTTATACTAAAACTTGATATAAATGTAATTAAAAAAATAATAATCGTTAAATAATTTTTAAGCTGAAATAATTGAGGTAATTTTTAATTTTATCCTTAAAATGTAAATTTAGTCTAAAAGAATAGAACTAACTAGTGAGAATCTAAACAAAAATTTATAAATTTTTAAATTTCAATAAAAAATTATGAAATAATTACTTCCTCTTAATTTTACTACTTCTTTTATTTTAATTATTTTAAATTTAAAGTTCTAGTTTTACTTAATTAATTTAGTTCTATAATTAATTTTTGCTCTTTTGCAAATCTATCAAATGTTTACTTTTTTTGAATGATCAGAAAGCTACTACAGTGAAACCTGCGTATAAACTGGAGCCTACAGTACCAAAAATTTGCCCCAAATACCATGATAAGCGCAAATGAATAATAAACAATATTATTAAATAAATTAATTGACTTAAAACAATAAATAGAAAAAGGTTATTAAATTACCAAATTATTTTGGTTTTTTTTTTGAGAAAAAGAGGAAACATATTATTATAAATAATCAAAAATTAGATATTGATTGAATTATTAAAAGTTAATAATTATGAAAACACCTAAAAATAAATAAAATATATATATATAAATACAATAAAAATTAATTTTAAGATGTATTCTGAGTGTATTTATATGTGCGAGTTTTTCTATTCTATTCCAATACAAGAATACCCAGTTTATAGATGACTTTTATAATAAAAAAGAGTAAAGTTTGGATAAAAAATTTATTCATTTTGTAACAAGTGCTCAATAAATACAGATACCCAGTTTAATAAAATTTACCTTACTATAAATTAAAATTATACAAAAAAAATTAATTTATGATATATCTCAAATTGAGATAAAATACTTTTCTCCCTAATTTAAATAAATTTTAATCTTACTATTTTGAGATTAAAAATATTTATCAAATTAGTAGCTAATTTTATATTTATATTCTTTTTTTAGCAAGTGCTCAATAAATACTGATACCTAGTTTAATAAAATTTACCGTACTATTAATTAAAATTTTTCAAAATTAATTAATTTATCATTTATCTCAAATTGAGATAAAACACTTTTCTCCCTAATTTAAATAAATTTTAATCTTACTATTTTGAGATTAAAAATATTTATCAAATTAGTAGCTAATTTCTATTTATATTCTAAATCTTTATATTTGATTTTAAAATAATTAATTAATTGTTAAAATAAATCTTAAAGAATAATAAGTACTCAAGTAAATTAAAATGACTAATACAATCGTACCTGCTAATAACTTTCAAAATATCAAAGAAGTTATCAAAGTTGTAAATAAGCTTAGAGATTTTGGAATTGAGTCTGATAAGATATAGCTTCCAAAAATTGTTGTCATTGGTGTTTAATCTTCTGGTAAATCTTCGCTTCTTGAATAAATTGTACAACTAGATTTTTTACCTAGAGGAACTGGAGTTGTCACTCGTTGCCCTTTAGAAATAAGACTCATAGAAGTTACTAATTAAGACAGTGATTTTAAGCCTTACGCTTACTTTTTCGAAGAGAGGTAAAAAATCTTTCATGATTTTGAACTAGTGAAAAAAGAGATTCAAAAGATTACAAATGATTTTGCTGGTCCAGGTAAAAAAATAGTAGATAAAGTTATTACTTTAACTATCTATTAGGCCTAATGTCCTACTTTGACTTTAATCGATTTGCCTGGTATGACTTTAAATTCTGTAGGTGACTAGAAAGATATTGAAAGAGTTACATAAGATATGACTAAAAAGTATATCATTGAAAAAACAACAATCATTCTTTGCGTTATTCCAATTAATTAAGATTTGGAAAACTCACTTGCTTTAAATCTTGCTAGATCTGTAGATGAAAATGGAGAACGTACTATTGGTGTTCTTACTATGATTGATATAATGAATCCTGGTACAAACTGTGAGAATGTGTTGAAAAATAGATAAATTCCCCTTTTGCATAGGTATTACGGTATGAAACCTCGTAGCTAAAAAGACATCAACGAAAATGTTTCAGTATAAGAAGCAATCTAAAGAGAATAATTATATTTCACTTCACATTAAATTTATTCGATGTATCCTGAGTACACAGGTACAAATGCTTTAACTAATAAGTTATCAACTTTGTTAGACAGTCATATTCGTACTTTCTTACCTTCAATCCATAAAAAAATAAAGATGACCCTTTCTGAAAGAATAAAAGAAAGATAACAATTGGGAAATGAGTTTCCTACTGAAGTTACTTAGTAACTATATGAACTAACAAATATTATTAACACATCCTTGAATTTATTTAAGCAAGCAATGACTAACTATGACGCTAGCGAAATTCAGAATATCGGTAAGATTAAAGTTGATGAAAGAGTTGGTAAAAGTTATGCAGACTTTCTGTTTGATAAGTATTTATTAATTTGTAAAAAAATATCTGAAGAATAAGTTTTTAAGGTTAAAATGAAAGACCTTATCAAGGAGCTAGGAAAATTTAGAGTTCAAGTTAATGGATTCCTTCCTTTTGAAGTTTTTGAATCTTAAATAAAGCAAAAAATAAATTTATATGAAACAGAGGCTATAGTAATTTTAGAGTAGCTGAAAGAGCATGTAAGGAAAGTATTAAATCATTGCATAGATTTATTTCCTTTCCCAAACAATAAAATAAAGAAAATAATGTAGGATATACTTTAAAACTTTGTATAAACAGAATATAATTTCACATCATCTCACATAAAAACTGCATTTTATTGCTACAAAGATTGTATTTGTTCAAAAATGATAGATATTCATGAGACTGAATCTAAATTGAAATAAAATCACGTATACCTGCAGAATGATAACCAATAGAAAAAAGTTTTATATGAGTATATTTCTAAAAATAAATCATTTATGGAATGGACTGTTTAAGAAATAATGATAAAAGCAGAAAATTTATGTAATGTTCCTATTACTATGAGTGATTTATAGAATACTTACACAAAGGCAGAAGAAAAAGTATAAAACACAGATGAAGTTTTGAGATATTCAATTATTTATTATAAATACATGGATAATTTTAGAAAATAAATCAGTGATCAAATTCCATAGTGTATTCAATCTTTATTCATTAATAGCCTTTGTAAGAATCTCATGGTAAAAGTTTTCTAAGCTATTTAGAGCAAAGAATACAAAGAAATTATAGAAAAAAACCTAAAAGAAGATGAAATAATTGCAACTAAAAGAGCAAAGGTAATTTAATCTATCTAAAAATTAGCTAAAGCAAACGATAGGCTGGAACGTTTAATCGATTAAGGCTAAAATTGCAATCACATGCTATCCACAACTTATGGTGATGAAGAAAATTATATTCACGAGTCTTTAGAAGACTCTGATGGTATTGATGATTGAATATTATACAGTTTCAAAATATAATAAAATCAGATTATAAAATATTTTTTCTTTGTAATATTTTTAAATTTTATTTTTATTTTATATTATTACCTAAATATTTGGTTTCATTTGTAAAATATTTATTTTAATAATATATTTTAAACACTTATCATGATTTAATTTCAATTTTTTTTTGTATTTTGGTCTGAATTATTTACCTATTCTTAGCTATGGATTGTTCATAAAGTGTTAAATTTAATTGATTATATAATTATTAGAAATTAATATTTAAGCAATTAACAAAATTATATAAAACTTAAAATTATTGGTTTAATTTTATTTTTGCTGTTTAATATTCTGATCTAAACAAACAATAAAATGAAATGAATAAATTTGGTAAATATTAACTAAAAATAAATGATACTTTTGACTATAAATAATACATTTTTATACAAATTCAAAATTAAATTCAATTATTTTTGTAAGAGTTTAGTAAATCAGTAGCTTCTTTATGATTTGGATTGATTGAAAGGACCTTTTTACAAAGTTCCATGGCTTTTGATTTATCATAAGTTAATTTATAAACTTTGGCTAAATTATATAGAAAATCTGTGTTTTCTGGTGCTTCTTTAAGAGCATTAATGAATGTATCTATTGCTTCTTTATAATACTTTTGTTTGATTTATAAAATACCTTTTTATAAAATAGCGGAGCTATTTTTTGGTTAAAGGACAAGACCTTTTTCATAGTAATTAATGGCTTATTCTATATTTTTAGAGAGGTTGTATGACACAGCAATATTGAAGTAAATTTATGCTTCCTCGTTGTTAATTTCTAACGCCTTAAAAAATATCTCTTAAGCTTTTGCAATATCTCCTTTTTACAAGTAAATAACACCTATTTAATTATAAACTAATGGCGAGAGATTAGCTACATCGAATTCAAGACACTTTTCCAATAATTTTTAAGCTTCGTCTAATTTATTTTAAACTTATAACATTTTAGCTTCGTAAAAGAATTTTTTGCAGTGAGAGTTTTCAATTTACTCTGCTTTTTTAAGATATTCTTGGCTTTTTTCTACATTTCCTTTTGTAAAATATAAATATCCAAGTTCTACAAGCACATCAAATTAGTCTTAATTTTATTCTAAGCAATTTTCTAAGGCTTCTAATTCTTTTTATTGATCACCTTTTAAATTATAGAATCTAGCTAATTCAAAGTATATATCTTTAAGATGAGAAGGGCAATTTTGTTTAGCTTCTTCTAACATTTTGATACCTGCGTCAATCTAATTGCTACGAATATAAATATCCTTTAATATTGTGTAAGCTAAGAATCTATTAGCCTCATTTTAGAAAGAAGAAGTGTTAGCTAAGATATTTGGAATCATATTGATTTAATCTTCTTCCATCAAACTCATTAAAGCAAAGGCTACTATTTATCCTTCGTCTTCTTAATTGTGTTCAATAATTCTCTGTTATATTTTATCAATTTAATCATCTACATCATCTTCTAGCTGTTCCAAAATTTCCATTATCAAAATATTTGTTTCAATATCACCAGGTTATATCTAAATAATCTTTTCTAATGTTTTTAAACCTTTCTCATACTCTGTTTGCTAAATGTATGCTTTGGCTAGAAGTTTAAGGTAATTCAAATCAGTAGAATTGCCTGCTTAAATTTGGTTTAATTTTTCTAAAGTCTTTGAATAGTTCTCCTATCTAAAATGGCAATAAGCAGTAGTGAAAATATAGTTTGGATCTTGCTAAACTGAACAGAAAAACCTATTTTTTAATAAGTACTTAGTATTTAATCTCATCATCATGAGTGAGTTGACATTTTTTAGAGCAAACATATTTTTTAATTTCTTTTTTTATAAAATAAAGAGCTTTAACCTACTTTTGTATCAATATTTCTTGAATATTCTGCCAAAAATTCTGCAAAAAAGTAAATAAATTCAAAGATTAAAAACCTAAAAACTAATAAATTTTAGAGGTAATTGAAAAAAATTTACTTTGCATATATTTGGCTTTCATTTAAATTTCTTTTAAAAAAGTAAGTAAATTGAATTAAATGAAGAAATTAGTTTTATAAATTTATGAAAATAATTTTTAAAGTAGAAAAACTAATTAAGTATTTTATATATAGTTACAGCAAGTAAAATAAAGTTATTAGGTGCAATTAAAAAATATTTTAGTTAAAATTTGCTTCGATAAACTTTTAATTAAAAAATTAATTTTGTAAATGCTATTAAATTTAAATAAGTTTGTAAGGAAGAACAAATAAATCAAGGAAAGGAAAAATAAATGAACTTATTTACTACTCTGATTTTTTTCATTTACAATTGCAAAATTCTAAATATTGGTTAATTCTACATAATTAGTATTAAGTTTTTTTTCTTTTTTCATGCCAAATAATTGAAGAAAAATAAATTCTAGATGAAATCCCCCCTCCTTTTAAGTTATAAGAAAATAATAACTAATATTCAATCAGCAACGATCTATATTTAGTTAGTGAACGCTACTACACAAGAACAAATAGATAATAGTAAAGCGGTTTGATAGAATTATTTCCTCTTTTAATATTTAATTTTAAAAGTTCTGGATTGTTTAAATTATCATTAAAATTTTAAATATTTTACTTAGCCTGTAATTATGACGTTTATTTCTTCGACTTGTTGTTATAAAATTATGAAACTAAACTTCTCGAGAAAAATTCGATTAAGCAATATTTATAGTATCATATGATTTAAGCTGTGAAGTCAATGCTATAAATCCAAAAAGCTTGATGAGAATGACGTATTTGTTCGGCGGCGATTTGATAGAAAAATTCAAAGATATTCTTCGAAATAATAAAAATTATTAAATTAATAAAAAAATTTAACTTTAAATTCTTCTTAGAAAAGGTAAAAATGTCAAAGGCTTTCATTAATAAACCCGCTCCCGCTTTCACAACCACTGCTTGGGATGGTAGCGTTAAAACTATCTCATTAGATTAATATCTTGGTAAGTGGGTCTTGTTGTTCTTCTACCCCTTCGATTTCACTTTTGTCTGCCCCACTGAAATCATCAGCTTTTCTGATGCCGCTGAAACCTTCAGAAAGATGAACTGCGAAGTCCTCGGTTGCTCTATTGACTCTCACTTCGTCCATGCTGAATGGTGCAAGAAGCCCAGAAAAGAAGGTGGTTTGGGTAACATGCAAATCCCCTTATTGGCTGATGTTTCCAAGCAAATCAGCTCTGACTACGGTGTCTTGATCACCGAAGGTGATGCCAAGGGTGCTGCTTACAGAGGTACTTTCATCATCGACCCTAAGGGTAACATTAGACATATTTCCATCAATGACTTACCTGTTGGTAGAAACATTGATGAATACATCAGATTAGTCTAAGCCTTCCAATTCGTTGAAGAACATGGTGAAGTCTGCCCTGCTAAGTGGAAACCTGGTGCTAAATCTATGGTCCCTGATCACAACTCTTCTAAGCTCAAGGAATACTGGGAAAATGAACATGCCAAAAAGTGATAAAGATAAATATTATTAATTATTAAAAAAAGTTCAATAATTGCCATTAAAATTAATTTAGTAGCGTTTACATAAATTATAAATATTTGTTTTGTGTTGCAATCTTGATTAATAAATATGGTAATTCTTACTAAATATCTTCATCAAATTAGATAGTATTATTTTTAAAATGTTTTTCATTCTCTAAAACGAATGATAGTGAACCACCTTTCATTTTAAAAAAGTTTTTAGAATTCAAAACTAAAAAAATATATAGATTTATTGCCAATCATAAAAGTAGCAATAAACTTGTTTATATTTATTAATGAATCTTAATAAATTAAAATAAATTAAAGAACAAATATATGCCAGAATAATCAAAAATTGGTAAATTTTTCAATGCTTTTTTAATTATTCTTTATTTTATTTAAATAAAGAAAAACCATAACTTTATAAAATATAAACCAAATTTTACTCTTTCAATAAATTTTGATGCTTTTTTGTAATTAGAAATTTAATGTGTAACTAAATATAATTCAAGATTTTATTTTAATAACTAAAACCATGATTATTCTATTATGCTATTTTTATCTTCTTTTTAAAATTTAGCTTTAAATTTTTACTCGTATTAGCTCCAATTAAATAAAAAACTTACCTTAAATACACAAATAAAAGTAATAATTAATTTATTCTTTGTTTAATTTGTTAAAACTAATTTATCAATTTATTAATGATAGAAAAATCATTTATTGATAATTAAAATAAAAGCTGTCCTTAGTTAGTATTTGTTAAATAAATAAATCAAATTTAAGTTTTCATCTTTATTTGCATTTCAAAAATAATCAATTAATTAATTGATTTTGTAAATTTAAAAAAATTAGCAGAGAGAGGTTTCGATCCTCCGACCTTTGAGTTATGAGCCCAACGCGATTCCACTTCGCCACCCTGCTGTAATTGAAATATATGATTCAAAAATCTGACCCAGGTCATTAAAAAATACACTTTTATAAACCAAAATTATTTTTAATATTTTAAAGATCAAATATCAGTAAAATTTTTTAGTTAAATTAAAAAAAATTTTAGCAGAGAGAGGTTTCGATCCTCCGACCTTTGAGTTATGAGCCCAACGCGATTCCACTTCGCCACCCTGCTAGACTTGAAACATATTATTCAGAAATGAGAACCAGTTTATTAAAAATTGTATTAAACTTCTTATGCTTATTTTATTCAAATTTTTATCTTTTTGCATTTTGCATTGTGTTGAATACTCTTTAAAGTTCTACTTTTTATTTAAGTTTATTTATTTTTCTTGTATTACAAAATAAGTTTTAAAAATTTTTAGCAGAGAGAGGTTTCGATCCTCCGACCTTTGAGTTATGAGCACAACGCGATCCCACTTCGCTACCCTGCTAGACTTGAAACATAAAATTCAGTAATGTGACCCAGGTCATTAAAACGCTTTTATAAACCAAAATTATTTTTAATATTTTAAATATAATATAAAAGAAGATTCTTTTGTTAAATTAAAAAATTTTAGCAGAGAGAGGTTTCGATCCTCCGACCTTTGAGTTATGAGCCCAACGCGATTCCACTTCGCCACCCTGCTAGACTTGAAATATGTGATTCTGAAATGTGACCCAGGTCATTAAAAAACTTTTATAAACCAAAATTAATTTTAATATTTTAAATATAATATAAAAGAAGATTCTTTTGTTAAATTAAAAAATAATTTAGCAGAGAGAGGTTTCGATCCTCCGACCTTTGAGTTATGAGCCCAACGCGATTCCACTTCGCCACCCTGCTAGACTTGAAACATACAATTCAGTAATGTGACCCAGGTCATTAAAACGCTTTTATAAACCAAAATTATTTTTAATATTTTAAATATAATATAAAAGAAGATTCTTTTGTTAAATTAAAAAATTTTAGCAGAGAGAGGTTTCGATCCTCCGACCTTTGAGTTATGAGCCCAACGCGATTCCACTTCGCCACCCTGCTAGACTTGAAATATGTGATTCTGAAATGTGACCCAGGTTATTAAAAAACTTTTATAAACCAAAATTATTTTTAATATTTTAAATATAATATAAATGAAGATTCTTTTGTTAAATTAAAAAATAATTTAGCAGAGAGAGGTTTCGATCCTCCGACCTTTGAGTTATGAGCCCAACGCGATTCCACTTCGCCACCCTGCTAGACTTGAAATATGTGATTCTGAAATGTGACCCAGGTCATTAAAAAACTTTTATAAACCAAAATTAATTTTAATATTTTAAATATAATATAAAAGAAGATTCTTTTGTTAAATTAAAAAATAATTTAGCAGAGAGAGGTTTCGATCCTCCGACCTTTGAGTTATGAGCCCAACGCGATTCCACTTCGCCACCCTGCTTAACTTGAAATATTTAATTGAGAAATAAAACCCAGGTCATTAAAAATTTTTAAATTATCAATCAATTAAATATCTTTAAACCTATATTTCCAATATTATAAAGTGTGAATATTTTTAATTTTAGACGCACAAAAAAATATCTAATATGATCAAATTGAATATTATAACTAATTTATAAAGTAGTACAACATCTATTGAATTATTAGTAGAAATATGAAAATAATACAATATTTTTTTAATTTAATAGTATAAATCAAAATGAAAGTGAGCAAACTGATGGTATATTAACTAACTAACTTGCTTACTTACTATAAGTAACTAATAATTTAGTAAATTTTTTTATTCCAGTTTTTAATGATAGTTTTATATATGTTACATTTAATTTGAAATAAGGTTAATGATTTTTTTTATTTGGAATTATATTATCAATTCATGTTAGAAGATACAGAACTGTATGGATTGTTATAATGCGAAGGCATACTGTAGCCTATACCTATATTGTTTTTTTATTTTTATTTTTTCTAGTTTCCTAATTTTGAATAGGTAATTGTTTGGTTTTTATCCCAAAGTTTAGAATCTAGAACATCGCTTTACTCTTCTTAAACTAGTTATTCTCTAAAATTTTATACATACAAAAAAAATTAATTTAAATATTTCTCTCTAATTTTTTTACACTTTAGAAGTCATTTTTTTTATTACGTTTTAGCACTAATTAATCTTATCAAATAATTTTAAGCAAAATTCACTCTTGTCTTAAACCAGGATTCCATGCTTTAGATAATGTAAAATATTATAAGTCAAACTTGTTTAAAATATATATTTATACATTTTTGATTACTTTTATAGAGTTATCAGACTCCATGACATCATAAAGATGTTTTATTTGTTAGGGATTCATTTCCATTGTCCTTTTAAGCGACTTTTAAATTAAAAAAAATACTTGAATAACTTTAAAATAACAATAATTTTTAATACATGAGCAAATTGTTCTATGTCATAATCTTTTTCAAGTTAAAATTTAAAAACCTCCTCATTACTTAAACAAAAATGAATTTCTATTTTATTTTATTTTATAAATTTTATTAATACCAAAACAAAATTTCTTTATAATATCCTCATAAGTTAGTTGACCCTCATAAATCAACAAAGTATTAAATTTTTTCATAAATTGAAATTTATATTTCACGTTAATACAAAATAATTCTGAGGGTTTTAATTGATGAGTATTATATAGTAAATTTATCAATGCCTATTAATTTACAATGATTTTTTGTGATGAATTAAACATAGTCTTTTTTCAGAGGAATGACATGTAATATATTTCTAAAATCTTCATCTCTTTTATAATAAAAATGAAAGTTGTTATTGCTATATTTTTGAGAATAATTGTATATTACTTAGAGATGAGCATTTGAGAAACTCCTATTTCGATGTATACTAACTCGTTTTTAAACAATGAAGACAAAGAACTAACTCTCCTTGCTTTATATTTTCTTTCTCTTTTGGGAGGCATCACTCTATCTCTCCAATATATTTTATTAGTAAATTATTTATGCTCATAAGTAGAATGCAAATGCCTTAACTCATTTTCACCAAAATTTGGATTCTAAAGTCTTAAAATAGGTTTAGTTTCTTCATAAAAATATTTTGCCATGAGTGAAATTTAAACGATCAAATCTCTTTATTAGGTATACTTTGCTTTGTAGTTTTATGGTTTTATCTTACCAGAGTCCCATAAATAAAATATAAATTCATTCTCCCTTTCACCAAAAAGCACACTCTAATTATTAGGTTTGCAAAATAGTTTTGCTTTTTTTGATTTTAATAAAATTATTTACACTTATTGCACAAAAAAGAAATGCTTGCACTTATTTTCCTTCATTAATTTCAGTGATTGTCTGGTTCACAAAGTTAAATTCAAGTATTACATTCTATTAATTAAAAAACTTTGTTAAAAAAGTAATCCTTAATCTTAAACAAGCCAATTTATTTACTTCTTTGCATTTCTTATGAAAAACTTAAAAAATAAAAAAGGGAAACATCTTAAGCTCTATTTGTTGTTATTTTTATGGAAATGTTTTATTTAACTATAGTTAATTATTTTGGAAATAAAAATTGTACCATGATATTGCATATAATAATGCTCAAGATGCTGACATAAATAGCTTCTTATTTTTAGCTCATGTATGTATTTTTCTTTTTCCTAAGGGAAATATTTATAATTATAAAATAGCGTGATATCAATAAATTACTTTAATATTTTTAAGCTAGTCATATGCTAATCTAATTTTCTTTTGTAAATCTATTGACTTCTGATTTTCATTATGAGATTCGTAAAAATTATTCAGAAAATTGTAATTTCTATTTTTGGAAAATATTAATATCGATTTAATCCTAATTTAGCTACAAATTATAAAATTTATCTTAACTCAGTACTTTTCAATTTCGTCAGCAGTTGAGTTAAAGTGAAGTCCTAGTGTGTGATATATTCCTCTCTTCTACTCCCAGTTCGCATCATTTTCGTTGTGATTTAAAAGTCTCTACATTTGCTTCAGTTAAAGACTCTGTTTTAATATTTTGAATGATTATTATTAGTTGATAGAAATTACAATAATAAGTTTTTATTTGCTAGATTTGAATAACTTCGCAATTTTATTTTATTAGAAAAAAATTTAATATTTTATAAGACGAGATAGCACAATTTTGTAAATTAAATATAAGTAAAATATATTTCAAAGATGTAATTAAGAGTTACTAAAGTAAATAAAATTGGAAACACCAATTTTTAATTAAACATTAAACAAAAAATAGAATGAGAATTATGAAAATTATTAATATCTCAAATTACAATAATAAATAAATAATAAATTATTTTTAATTTAATAAGCCAATAAATCTATCAATCAAATAAATTTAAATTATCACTAATAAAATCATCATTTTCTATAGGTTCAATCGGAGTTACAGGGACTTCAGGAACATCATCTCCCATATTCCACCATAGAGTAAATATAAATACTATAATAGAGACCCATAACAATATCTTTTAATATTTTTTAAGTTCCTTTTTCTCTTAAGTAGAGTTTTCTTTTAGTAAAAACTCTCTTCTCTTTTAGGCATATGTTTTATAAGAAGGAGGAATTAAGCCAGGTATTTCAGGCACATCAACATCACTATCTAAAATATGTCTCTAATCTAAATAATCTTGGTAGTTTGCTTTGTAGCTATTCTAAAATATTTTATCCTTTTCTCTCTACTTTAAGATCTAATTTCCTTCACATAGATCAAGATGATCGGATGCAGCTTAAGGATCAGGAGGGATGTAAGGTGGTTCATTTTCTAAAGGATCGTTCGGTTAATATGAGTTGTAATCTCCTTCATCGTCATCCTCTTTATTCTATTTAAATTATTTGAGTCTTTCTTCTTCCTTTTTATCAAAATACTGATCTTCTTCAAAAACTATTTTAAAGAATAATAAATTAATCTATTGTTGGTTGCCATTATAATTAAATTTAAAATTGTATTTTTAATATTTTTTAAATTAATTTTGAGATTGACAATTACAACTAATTTCGTTGAAATTAATTCATTTCATTTTAGAATTTTTAAAGAACAAATAAGATTAAGATGAAAAATAATTGATAAACTTTAAATAAAATTGAATTAAGCTTACCTTATTTTTACTTTTTAAAATTCAACTTCTTCAATATTTATTATGCAAAAGAAGTGCTCGGCTATGATTTTTCTTGCTAACTTTCATTACTTTTTGGTTGATTAGATTAATTTTTAGCTTACTATTATTATTGTACATTTTCTTTTGCACTCATCTAAATTGGCTATTATTTAGTTAGAGATGGTGCCAAATTAGTCTTAATTTTTCTGCCACCTTTCTTATTAATACTTTTAGCATCCAATATTTTATTTTTAAGTGCTTATCTAGAGAGTTCAAGCTCGAGTTACTCTTATTTAAGTCTCTCTTGTTCTTACTAATACTATTACAATTTCAATTAGTTTTACTTTTATAACTCAGCTTCTAATTCAAGCTTCTTTTATTACTCTTTTTCTTCTTCAATTTCCTTAAGTATTCTTGCTTATTCTGCTAGTTTTTTCTTTTCCTTAGCTCTCTTTTATTGCATCTAAGATGACAATAACTTCTGGTTTTATTACTACTTTTATGAAGTTTATGACTCTTTCTCATCTGATGAACTTTCAGTCAATTATTTAAGCTATTATTTCTACAATAACTGCTATAGCTACTGCTACTATTATTACTACTACTATTACTATTTTTGTTACTTATTTACCTATTGTTATTAAACTTGTTACTAATTTCCATTTTTTATATTTTGCATAAAAGATGCTGCAGAAGCTTTGTTGAATTCAAAGTTGTTTAATTTTGAGCCGCCAGTTTTGGATTACTATTTTTAGGCTAGCTAAACTAATCTATTGTGGTATTCTTTATAAGTAGGTTATGTTTTCAAAAGATATTCATGATAATTGTCATATTATTGTTATGGTATTTGATTTGTGCTATTGTTTTCTTTATTTTCGCTTTCTTTGCTTTAATCATTATTTGCATTAGCTAAAGGTAAATTTTATACTTTTTCTAATGTTTAAGGTGTGCTTTTAGCACTGATAAGATCAGTTTCTACTTACTTTTGCGTTTAGACCGAAGGTGTTGCAGATGCAATAGATTCTTTTAAAACTCCTGAAGACTGTTGACTTTTTTAAGTTGAATATGCTGTCCTCGAGCTATTACTAGAACTTACACTTAAATTATCATTCTGATTTTAAGTAACTTAATTTTTGGTGGTGCTCTACGAAATAGTTTTTTAATTTGAGTCGACATCGCTTTGTTACTTATTACTATTTTCAGTTTATTTTTTGAAATTTTGATTCTCTTCTACTTGACATAATAATTCTTTGATATCTTCATCATTTGGATCAACTTCAAGAGCCTTTTTTAAGTCTGCTATTGCTAACTTTAAATCTAAATCTCTTTTTTACTTTGAATTTTATAGAA